CCCCAAAACCCCAAAACCCCAAAACCCCAAAACCCCGCAAAATATCTTATTTATTAAATTATTTAGTAATGGAAACAGAATTTTCAAAACAAAGAAAAGACTTTCTAAGTTGAAAAATGAAGGTAACAATCCAGGAAGCATCGAACGAATTTTTATCTAATCTTCGAAGAAAGAAGAGACAGATATTGTTTAAGAATCAACGGAAATATCTCTGGAGTTGTGAAGAAAACTCTATGGAAGACTTAATTGAGAGCAAAGACCTTGATGTTAAAAAGTGAGATATTCTTGATATCATGTTATATTCAGATAAAGAAGACCAAATTATCTGAGCTGTTAAGTTGTTGAACTCTGTGATTGCTCAGGATGACGAAGAGAGCGAGGAGTTTATTGATGTTATTTATTCTGACAAATTTGGAGAATTACCTCTGATTAATAAGATTTCTGAGTTATTATACAGCAAGGATATCAGAATAGTTGAGCAAACAGCACTTCTTCTGATCACTTTAATTAGAAAATAAATCTCTAATCTTAACATTCGAGAACATAGAAGAAGCGATACAGCATCTTTACCATTTTAGAGATGGATCTCAAACCCTAAAAATCACCCTAACCCAAAACAACTTAACCAAAATTTCATTAGGCCTAAAAATCCTCCTCGAAATCCTAATTCTCTCCATAAACCACCTCGAATCCAGCTCCCTCCCTCTCACTGAGTCCAACCTCCCCTACATCACTCTCAAAAGCACTCTCTCCCACCTCCTCCCAATGTCCCAAATCCTCACCACCCAAAAACAGTCCAAATCCACTCTAACCGGCATTCAGACGCTCTCCTCAATCCTCTGTAACATCTCTATAATCTCCCTCACTCCTCTGACATCCGCCTGCTGCTCTGAATTCATCCCGCTTGTTATTGACCTCTTGTTTAAGCAATGTAATGTTATTGAGGAAACTGGGCATTTGTTGAAAGCGAATTTGTTGACTTACTTGGTGAATCATGCAGAATACACTTCCGAAATGCTCTCCTACACCACATCCCCTACCTCCCCCACCCCTACCCTCCTCTCCAACCTCCTTCCCTTACTCACCTCTTCATCCCCTCTCATCACCGACCTTACAGTCCAACTCTTCCTCACCCTCCTGCCTTCCTGCTCACCCACAGACCTCCTCGAACCCCTATGGACAGCTATCATTTCCTCTCTGAAGAAAGAGCACCCGCTCTTTCTTCAGTCAATGACTGCTAACGCCATACAGCTGATCGAGCTTGGCCTGGCTGGGCCAGCCCAGGTAGTTCAGGTTATGAAGAAAGTAGTCGCTCAAGAAGAAATAGAAGCAGGGAAGGGGCAACAGACAGTGGAGAGCAAGAGTGTGCTAAAATGTTTTGGAAATTGGTGTAGGAATGAAGAGTGGTATAGGGCAATGGAAGAGGAAGGGATTGTGGATGAAGTGATGGAGGAGGTCAGTGAGGGCTTGGAAGGAGAGGAAGGGGAAGAGAGGGTGCTGGATGTGTTGAAGGTGCTGGACGGGGTTTTTGGAGTTGACGAAGAGAGATTGAAGATATTTAAGGAGGGTGATGGAGAGAAAAGGTTAGAGAAGTTGTTTGATGTGTATAAGGATGAAGATGTCAGGAGTGTGCTGATTAGTCTAGCTGGAAAATATTTTTCTTAAAGTAGTAATATATCAAAATTTCAATATTAGGAGAACTTCCAGGGGTTTTGGGGTTTTGGGGTTTTGGGGTTTTGGGGTTTTGGGG